CATTCGACGTTACCTACACTTTGGAAAACAAAAATATTTTATTTTGAACCCACTGTGCATGATCGCTTTTATATTTTAGTTACTCGATGTATGCACCTAAACATACCCTATCCAATACAATGTGGTTAGTTTTCGACGTTGAATGAAACAAAATTCCAACGTTGCCAGACGTTTTCCTTTTCTGAGTAAGAAAAATAACACAGAGCTGTAGATGCCATACATACAACAAAGATCCTAATCTCTTATGCTGATCAAAAACCATCTTAGAACAACTAGACCAAATTATTATTCAGTATTCTCTATTACTCAAATTCAAAAAGCAACTAAAGACAAATTTGAACAGTAGTCAGGTACATACGAATAATAATACTACTCATAGTAAGACTTTATCAATTGGTATAATCCTTGGTAAATGCTTGTCATCTGGTGTCAGCAACGTCTCTCGAAAGTGAGACTAATTATGCAGAGGTTTTCTGATAAAAATGGCAATGTTGCGTATTGTTAGAATTAAATAATTCTTTGCTCGTTGCTTAGAGCTACGTTTAATATCCTTAAATGCGTCGAGACAATTTCAATAAATCGAATTTTTTTTTTACTTAAAATATACTTTATGGTCCTTATCACCTAATCATATGTGAAGAAATGCGGTTTTCTCGAAACTGCGTTTCTCAACTAGTCTAGACTAGACGCACATATCTACTTGAAATATATACTGTAGCTTTAGAATAAAATCATCTAGTTAACTACGTAGAAATTGGTTTGTTGTTATTGCAACATTTTTATATACTTTATATTAATGTTTACAGTTTGCTGTTAGAAACTGAACATTTTTAACTTCCCGCTAAGAAAATGGAAAATTTTCTAAAAATCGGGAAGATATTGGTTTCACCCCATTTTGCAAAAATCGAGTTCTCAACAGATCTCGACGTTCTGAGGGTCGAGGAAGCTTCCCCGAACATTTATACGATGATGTCCGTATGTCTGTATGTATGTGTGGATGTATGTGTGTGTGTGTGGATGTATGTGACCCTCTTATAACTATTAAACTGCTCAACCGATTTGAATAAACTAAACGAATAAACTTTTCGAATTTTTTCCAAACGACTTGACCGATCGACACCAAAAACTAATCAGTTCTAAACCTTGAAGAAACACATCGTTTGCCGCAAACCGGGTCGAAATCGGTTGATTTACTTGCTAGATATCGAAAACGAAAAATTTCGAAGAGCTCAAAAGCAGTGAAAAAAGCGAAATTTGAACGTTAGCGTATGAAATTAGAGGGAAGTTGCAGGGATGGCCCTTGAGGCCAACCGTTTTCCACATTTTTTTACAAGCCCTCCACTTTGAGAAAAATATATGTAAAGTTAAAAGCGTACGTATTTTACTTGCAATTATTTTGTAGATCGAGATCACATTTTTATACTATCGCAACATGTTGGCTACAGAGTATTATAGTTTTGATTACTTAACGGTTGTTTACATATAAATGACAGAATGACGAGAAGAGTTGAAATCGGGGTGACTGTCTGTCTATCTATCCATATCTCCGTCCATTCGTCCCTCCGTGCGAGCGATAACTTGTGTGAAATTTAAGATATTGTGGTAAAACTTGTTATAGGTGTTCCTTTACATCCAAAAATTTGTATTGCAGATGAACGGAATCGAACAATTACCACACAAAAATTAGGTGAACGCATATTATTGAATATGCTACAGCTTAATTCTGAAAACGGTCCACGAATCACCCCAAATTCCATATACTAGAATATATTATATATAATGGATTTCGTTAGCCTAGCAGACTTAATGCCGCATCCTAGAATAGCATGGTAGCATGTTGTCCAATATTCTTGAGTAATGGCCAAAGTAAATGCAAACGTCTAGATCTTTCTCTAGTCGCAATATGCCCGATGCAATGATTCCATCTATTTGACTTTTCAGGACTTTAAACCGTCTATGTTGGCCAAACTGTGTGGTATTTTAATGAAAGTAAGTGTAAAATAAGAAAAATGTAGTAATGGAAGTTAATAAGATACTAAATTTTACAGTGAACGCATCGGTTTCTTCGGATGATGTATGTTATACTTGCCAAATAACTGGAACTATTACCCAGACGTTAAGGGTTGGAAATTTCGAGCATATAAAATGTTCGGTTATACCTGAGCTTAGGCCTTTCTTAATTTTTTTATTTCTGATAGCAAAAGTTCGTAGAATCACTTTCGCCCGTAGAGACCGTTTTGAAAAATATGATTTTAGCAAATTCTCAAAGAAAGACATTCCATGAAAACATTATTAAAACTGACCATTTTTCAGGGCTCTACTTTTACTTATAAGTATTATCTGATTGTTCGATAGTTCTATGGGTTTAATGTCCGGGAATATTGAAATATACAAAAACAATAACACGTTAGTCATCATTTAAAATGTACGGCTTTTGAATATGAGGAAGCAAATTAAATACTTCTCTTCGTAATTTTAATTGAATTCTATCAAAATATTCAAAAAAGTGACAATTCCTTCAGTTTGCTACCCGAAATGTAAAATTACGTTAATTTTACAAATTTAATTACATTGCAATTTATTATAGATGGTAACTCTTATCAAAATTACTTTCATGTACTAACCCCCATTTGACTCGCGTTGTACCTAATACTTTAATCTTTCCAATATGTACCGACATAATTGTTTCAGTTGCTTGACCAGCGTCTTTTCTGTCCGAAAAGTAAATTGTTTGTTCGTTTTACTCTTAGCACTTATTATACCACGTATAAGAATTTTATTCACCTCTGGACTGCACGGAATGCACGGAATGCAAAGTAAAGTTTTTTTTAGCACTATTTTCAACTTTTCCTACTAATTTGAGAACATTGTGAAATTGCAAAATGCAGCAGATGTATGTAAGCCATGCAATTAAATTGCCAGCATTGTTCAAATAAACGATTAGTTCGACTTTCTCATTCAATTACCCACCCGAGTGGGGACCGGAGCAATAGCGACGTGCCACAGCTCTCAAACGGCTAATAACAAAATGTTTTACCGAGATTTCAAATGCAAAGCTTTGCATAAGGATCCTATGTAAATATGCAGGAGCATGCGTGATTCGTTGTTATTGCTGGACCAGTGGGCTCGTCGCGGTCATTCAATCCGAATGCTGTTGCATAGACATGTGTTGCATTAAGTAATTTTATTGCAATATGCTGCATATCGACACATGTCGATAGATATATCTTCCAATTGTTGGTTAGTTTTATTGGCGCACAGCACAAAAATTTTTTTTTTCGCTATGTGAAAGCATTTACCCAATTACTTTAGGTATAGTAATTGTAATGATTATAATCACTCCCACATTTGAAATACTTACTCCAAAATCAAGCTTTCTGAGAAATCAGAACATTCAATATATGAGGCTTTTTCGATGTTACCGTCATTTAAAGGGATAGACTCGTATTTGGCCTTACTTTGTGCCAATCAAATACTTGTGTTCATGAAAAAGTAGACTCCTCAAAACACACAACATTTTCAACGATTCCTTTCCAGACAAAATAAAGTTACTTAATATGGAAATAAGGTCTTTATCGTGATTTTGATCGGTCAGTTTGAATTGTAGCTATATGGTATAGTAGTGCGATCTAAACAACTTGTTGGGAGATTGTAGCTTTGCATTGGGTAATAATCCATGTTAAATTTCGATGGATCAGTTTGTATGGTATGTAGAATATAGCTATAATAATCAGATATCGTCGGTTCCGACAAATGAACACCCCTCTCCAGAAAATTAAGGAGATGTGAACGAAGATATTATACTTGTACATGAAAAACTCGTTTTTTACGCAATTATAAATAAAAAATTTTCCTAGTCTTTTAACTTTTATTTTAAGATGATAACTTATTTAACATGAATACCTACAATGTCAGAAAATGTGACGTTCTATGACAAAATTGCAGTAATTTTCAGTTTAGCTCACCCAAAACAATAGGAATTATGAAAAAAAAAAAAACGCATATTATGCGAGTCTTTTCGAGACTGCGTGAGTAAAAGACATGCGTGTTTTCCTTCCGTTCCCTTGCACATGATCTTGGTGATCCTGCATACATTAAAACATTACATTTCGCCCTGATTCATCTGTCAGCCCTTTCCGAAATTTCGTTAAGTATAGTGACCTGGAACCGCTTTCCGGCTGCCATTATATTTACCGTCTCTCTGTTTCTAAGGACATTCTCTGAAGTTGTGTGATATTATTGCTTTAATTGTCGCTTGGCTATCGACGTACATATTGATGTTCTTTATGTCATTTCCTGAGATATTTGCTTCAGCTTGCAAAGACTTCAGCCTGGAAGATACTGCAGTATTTCGGCAGCTTGAGGGGCCTTCTGAGATCTAGCTCCGCGCAATCGATCCCGGCGCCCACTCCATCAGCTATTTTGGATCCGTCCATGTAGATGTTGAGGATTCCACTGGTGGGTCTCGCGTTTCTGCGCCATTCAACCTCTTTAGATGTAACTTGAAACCAGATAAACCCAGATAAAGCGTGAGGGTATGTGATCTATTTAATCCACCGACCCCCTTCATATCGAGCTATGCCCTAAGGTTCTTGTGAATCTTGCAATTGATTTTACCACCGAGTTTTCCCACAGCAATGTCGGTTGAGTAACTTTGCTAGTGCAGCCGTTGGAGTGACTCTTAGTGCTCCCGTTATGCTGAAAGCGTCGAGTCGCAGTATCCACTCCAACGGTTTCCTTAATAAGACTTATAAAAATAATTGGTTATCTAGATTAGTTATTCTTTTAATACTTGTTGCTGTTGTAAATAGAAGCTTCGGGTCATGCGTGCAACTATCTCAAATTATGTATTAAACACGTCACGCACAAAAATGCTTCACAAACATAAATATGGCATCCATATAATTTTGTTAAACCAGCAAAAATATTAGGTATTCCATTTTTTCAAATATACATCATTTTAATACATCTTTGTCTATGTCTTTCTTTTCTTCTTGCAGACTTCAGCAACGTGAAAGCTTTGCGCATCCTGAACTCTGAACTGGCAGACACGCTGGGAAATCTTTTATCACGAGTTTGTGCGAAATCCCTTAATCCGCAACAAGTTTACCCACGCCTGCACGCGGTGCAACTCGCTGATTTCCTGCAGATGGATTCAGCCAAGCGACTACAGGACGCGTTGCAGCAAATTGAAGGTAGATTACTCGTATCCACGTTATATGCACTCAAGTACACATGAATAATAGGGAGTGCATTTGTTGGTTTCTTTTGCCAGCACCGCAATCTAAACCACATCGCAAAGAATTGGATTTTTGCGCCGCGAGCGTTCTAACGGTGCAGCGCTGAAAGGAGCTTATTTACAAGCGCAAAAATTAGAAATACAGCGTGTATACCATCTACTTATACTAAATAAGAAAATACACCAGCTTACCAGTTGCTGCTGCAATATTTCTTCGACTTCCTCGCCAGTTTCTTGCCGCGATGATTAGTAAAGTTTTACACGCTCACAACTTTCATTAAGGCAATTTAAATTTCGCTTATTCGGTGTTTTCGCTTCATTAAATCGGAAAATTTTGGTGAGAAATTTTAAAGATGCACTTTCGTTGCTATGAGGAAAGTTTTCTTCTTGATGAAGGAAATTTGTAAAGTTTGAAGTGTTGAAAAGCGCTTCTAGAAAAAATTGCAAAACATTAAAATACAATGCCGTTAAGTTGCAAAACTTTTGATACGAGGTCAGCATTTGTTGATAAAAACTTGTCGCTTCCAAATATTTCAAGGTTCGCAGGATACTCATTAGCTCCTGAATTGGTATCTTCAATACTTAAAGTAGGATATATCCTGATCCAGGAAATAAAGAACAGTCAACTCAGGCTGGAGAATAGAGAATTAAAATGTACTTTTACACATTTTGTACGCTTTGGGATAATTTGAGCTTGGCAGCATTGTTAAGTTAATTCCGTAATGCATCGTAATGGTTCAGTCTTCGTTGCAGTTGTCAATGCGACAATGAAATTATTTGAAGTTTTACCCTTATGGAGATAGTAGAGTAAAATTCCCAACAATTGTGTTTGCCAACGTAAATGTCCAATTTAAATTCATAAACCACAAGATTGTACGAGATGTCCTCAATATCAATGATTTTAATAGCAAGCGCCACTTCGGTAGAATCTTTTTTACAAGTATGTGTTGCTGTAGATAGTTTTTAGAAATCAAATATAACTCCTGAAAGCTCGTGAACAAGTTAAGAAGAGACCGGTATTAGAAATTTGGGCGATAATATATATTTCACAAACATACTCTACGTGAATCAATGTCATCAATGTTCCTCTCTGCGTATTTTACAAGCATACTACAAATTACCTATAAATACTACTTGACAGTAGGGAGTATTTGTAGCAAAACTCTGCCTTCCTTTAACTAAAGCCAATGAAGTTATAAAATCAAATCGAGAAGTATAAATATTTTTACAAGCTCTTCCATCAAATCACTCATAAAACACACTTGCGGCTCTGCTGTCCAATATTAACACTTAATTTTGCGCGCACTTTACTCACAAAGTCACCGACATTCCATTTCTCATTCTATTATCTACTTGAGATTCTGTTTATTTCTCTACAACTGGCAACTTTATGACTAATATTTATATTTGCAGCACGTTGCGCTCAGCATTATGCGGATAACAATTTCTATTTGGTCGTGGACACCGTTATATCCACTTTGCATGCAGCCAATAACTTCTTCGAAACGGCACGACCGTGGGAGCTGAAACTCCCGGTGGCGGCTGCAGCTGCCGGTAGTGAGGCGCCGGACGCCGTAAATGTGCAGAATATTGAAAATTTCGAAAGGCTGGAGACGATAATCGCTATGACAATGGACACGTTGCGCATCTGCGGTATTGTGTTGCAACCGATTATACCGCAGTTGTGTGGCAAGCTACTCGATAAATTGGCAGTGCCGCCAGAGCAACGTTTTTGGCGTAACTTAGGCGAGTGCTTTGCCACAACAGCAGTGACGCCATTGTCATCTAATGAAACTGTAACAAGGTCACTTGCTGCACACACCGGTACGATGCTATTCCGGCGCATACAATTTGACGAGAGCGAGTTGCAGGCGGATAAAACACAAGTGCCGCCGAAGAAGGAGAATACGACTAAACAAAAGGTGGGTCAGAAGGCGGTGAAGAGCAAGAAAGCAGCATAGTAGTAACGCTGGTTAGTGTGTGTGTGAGTGTATGTAGTAGGGATGCTGTAGGGTGGACAACTGCGTCAGGCAAGCCTCAGCAACGAATCTTGCCGCAATGACAATAAAATAACGACAATGGCAGATGCGGCTGAAAGAGTGCCTGCCGCTGACGCTGCTATTGGAACTGCTGCATTGAAATTCACTGTGGGCACGGCAATGAAGTCATTTAAATTTGTTACAATTTCTTGCGCTTCCTGTCGCCATCCGCTACATGCCACCATGCGCCGAGCGCTTTCTTGCCACATTTTAAATGCTATGCTGGCGTTGTGCATCCTTATGTCCATCGTCAACGTTTGTCGTCGCCTTTCTTATGTTCTAGCAGCTGCTCCTCGCGGCTTTCACGTAGCGCTAGTAAAGTGTTTTAATACCTTGCGTCGGGACTGCAAGCGATTATTCGTAGCCGCTTATTTCATTGGTTTTACTATGCTCTTAAATATACGTACATACACATATTTCTCACACTGTTATTTTAGTAATCACTGTATACACTCGTACGATGGTATCAGCAGAGGAAGCTGAAAGTGATCTTGGCGCAACTTTGCCTTCTTACACATTGAAATAGAATTACTTTAAGCTGTTAAAATACCACCTGCAATTAATATTGATTTATTATATAATATTATATAATATAATATATATAAAATTGAATATAAATATATTATTTTTAAGTTTAAAACTATATAAAATACATAAATCAAAAATTTATAATTGACTATTAACTTTGCCATTAGTAGTAGTGATTAGGTGGTTCTTATAGGGTTTTATGAAGACATTGGAATCGGAAATGAATTTTATTTTAATCATCGCTGTAATCCTTGTTAAAACTTTTACTATATATAATATTTACTTATTTATATTAGTATAAATATTATTATACTCTCGCAACTTGTTGTTACAAAGTATAATAGTTTTGTTCACCGGTTGTTTGTATCGCCTAAAACTAATCGAAATAGATATAGGGTTGTACATATACAAGTATATAAATGATCAGAATGAGGCGAGTTGAAATCCGGATGTCTTTCTGTCCGTCCGCTCTTTGTTTACGTGTTTTTGGCAAAAATGTAAGCACGAGTTCGTAGATGGACGTAATAGGATACCATATACCTAATATAAAAATTTTCGAACTTCAGGGTGACTTAATACCGCATATATCGACAAATATGTGAGTTTTCTCAATTAAAAGAAGAGAGCGTATTTTCCTAATAACAGTGTATCTTTGTGTCTAAAATAAGTAGAATCGGGTGAAAGAAGGACCTAGCCCCTTTATAAATAATATCAGAAATTTCGAACATCCGACTGACTTTACTCCATATGATTGATGATGGTATATGAGGTAACTTAATGAAACCTAGTGAGCATTTTATTAGTATGTGGCATGTTAATAGTACGTGGTATTGGCAAAAATATGAACTTAAGCAATGTCCAAATTAATGCGGGCTGATTGCCCTTGTCCCTTTCTCTGCCCCCAATATAGCGTATATAATGATTTCCGACTTTCCACCTGATTTTAAACCATACAGGTTGAACGTGTGATATTTTAATGACCCTAAATTGACAAGATTCTTGGAATATAATGCGATTTACCACTGAATGTGAATGGAATTGGTCTAGACCTCGGTCTAAACTTCATATCCTAAAATAAAAACTTAACAACTTAATACATTACATTTGGTTTCTTCGGATGAGTTTCTATCAAATATTTTTTATTTAAGTATGAGTGGGTAAAAGTGACCTTTTGAAATATAGATACATCGGACTGTACGAGAGTATAGATGCCCCTCTTTTCTGAAAGAATATTATTTTTATACTTTTGCAACATATTGCTACAGAGTATAATACATTTGTTGACCTAATGGTTCTTTACATCATTTAAAACGAATAGAGATAGACAGGGTTATACGAGTTTTTCAGTCTATATTTCGGGATTGGAAAAAAAAAATAATAATATACATCGAAAATCGCTTGTTTTTCAAATTATTTTCCTTTAAGATCTGTACACTTTTGTACGCCTTTGAACCAATCGTTGAAACAATTTTGCCACTCTGATTGAAGTATCCCCAAAATATGCGTTCTGAACGCATCAACCGCCTCTTCAGGTATCAAAAACATTGACCTCATGGTTTATTTTTTACGTACGGGAATAAAAAGAAGTCATTCGGTGTGAAGTCAGTACTATACGGTATGATTCATCAAATCGTTGTTTTGCGTGCTCAAAAATGCAGATGCTTCAGTCGATGTGTGAGAGCTCGCATTGCCGTCGTGAAAAGTGATCCGTTCTTTCCAGTTGGTTTTCCTGATTTCTTTAAAGAAAGAAGGCAAATAAATGGTGGTATACCACTCAGTTTACTGTTCTGCGATGTTCTAGTGGTATGGTAGCGACATGTCCAGTTTTTCCTAAAAAACAGGCAACAATTTGCTTCGAAGTGCTTCGTGCGTGAACAACTTTTGTTGTGTTTGGCTCATCTGGAAACACAGTCGATTGCTGTTTACTTTTGGGCTCATACGCGTAAACCAACGATTCATCACCTATCACAGACGTGTTATGAAGCACCGCATTTTAACATCGCCACGAACCGATGAGCGATTGACAAATTGTGTGAGATCCAACATGAACAAATTTTTTTTACAGTCAAATGTTCATACAATATTGAATATGAGCTAGTCCTGCTAATGCCTATAGTTATATCAATCTCACAATAGGTTACATAACGATCTTGCAATATTAGTTTGCGCACAGCATCAATAGTTTCCCGAACAACAAACTGACTTTGGACGACCTTCACGAAATTCGACTTGGAGTGATCTACGAACTCGATTAAATTCACCATACGATCGATAAACACGTTCGTCTGTTCCTACAAGTTGTAACTTAAGTAAAAATTAAAATGTCTTGACGAAACTTTGTGAACGTGTTCCATGGCAACATAAAAAGGTCGGTATTGTTGATGCAGAATCTAAGCGCTACCATGCCCACAAATTTAGCGAAAACATAAAAATAGCTAATGCTAAGCCGCAAATTAAGATAGAAAACTATTATATATTATACAGTGAATTATAGCAGGCAGGGGCGTCTGTTGTTTGAAAACTTTTAAAAAATAGAACGCAGAAAGGTTTCATAAGAGCTGGTGTAAAAATTAAACAACGAGTATTTCACCGCCCACGTTTAGGTGAAATCCTATATCTCAAGAATAAATCGACATACTGAAATGCCATCTCACATATAAATATTGGCCTCTGAATTTTTACCGAACATATCGGTCAATCTGTAAGATATATTACTGAAATACAAATATAATATTTTTCTGATCATAGTGTGATTCTATGCGGGTAAACTCTGTTTAATAGCCCCATATACCTCATATAAAGATTTTTGAATCGGTCAATATGCGAGTTGGTATTGCAAAATTAAGCTAGTCTATGACCTGTTTTAAGTTAATGAGATACAAGATATGGTTGCAATCCATTCCATTAATATAAAGTTTCTTCAACACCTGAAAATATTTCCCAAGCTTATTTCCTTACATATTGCGAGAGTAGAAAATATTCGATTACACCCTTTGTTCTAGTACAAAGCGTAATCAGTAAACGTTTATCGCAAAAACAATCTTTCGTAAACTTAAACTTAGACGATATATGCATACTTATATATTATATAATCACGCTTGAATCGAATATTATTATCTTAATACGTCTGAGTATATGTGTTAACCTAAAAACTTTATACAACATGCCGAATGCAGCGCGACATTGGATATCATGTCACGTATACCAGCTGTTGATCCTCCGTTTTTTGTGACAACGTTGCTCAACTCATTAACTTCTTCGAAGTGCGCCTCGGCGATCTGTCGCACTGACGACTCCGTTGTGTTGATGCTCACTCTACTAACTGCTCTACAATAAATATTGTATTGATATGTTTTACACATGAGCAATGGGGTCTGAAGCCATCTAGTTCTTTACAAAGCCCCTGCATTAACGGGTTATGTGGATAACATGAATTATTAATTTATTTATCCTACTCAGCAGTGTCATTCTTCTCCAATTCGGTATAAGGTAATACAACCTGCTCTTAACTCTTCTGATAACTTTTCTGAAGGCCATATATGTTTCAACATGGGGAGTAATAGCCGTGCGGTCGTCTGAAGTTCAGCTTTAAGAAGTTCGAAGTCGATGTTGTCCGTTCCTGAAGCTTTGTTATTTTTCTATTATCTCAGTTTTATTGTGTAAGTCGCTTTTTATTCTGTGGCGTTGGCGGACGTTTGAAGAAATGGGTGAGAGAAATTTTTCATATTACGCACCCAGATGCTAAGTTGTTTATTTTCGGCTATTGTCCTTAACGGCACTAAAATGGACAAATGTCGTAGTTAGATGACCTAGGTGCGATATATATTTTCTGATATCTTTCCAAAATCTGTGAAGTTAATATATTCTCTAAAAATTTTCCCTTATAACTAAAGTAATAAAATTTATCTTCTGGAAGTATATGTATGTACCATAAGCAATTCTACAGCTTTTTTGTGTTCAATTTAATAAAGTTGTGCTTTTGGTTGAATAAATGTGTGTATTAAATTTGTATATTCTTCTCGTATATGTATGTCCTTTCATACAAACTCTCACCAACATAAATGTACGAACCTTTAATTTTGAGTATGGGATCGTTTTGTGGCCCGTGCCCTAATTTCTCAAAGTTCTAAGAATACGTTGTGTACACTAGTAAAATACGGAGGCCGTCCTATAAAAATAGAACGAAAATTTGGAAAACATGGCAATTTATTTCTTAACATAGTCTCCTTTTACGCTTGGTCCAGTGATCTCAGAACTTTAACCCGGTTGAATTGAGATGCTTTATTATTCCAATTCTAAATAATATTATACAAGTATGTACCGAATAGAAATTAATTAGAAATGCACGAGTGCCTTTCAAGTAATTCTTTCTATCGTCATTTTCTAACTTTATCTTTAGCAATGAATCGTTGATTCCGAGAGGTGAAAGTTAGTCAAGTGAACAGCTGCTTAAACTGCTGCACTTGAATCCATTTTTCGCGTTACTTTCATTAGCATTATTCGTGTAGTAGTGGCAACTTGTGAAAGTTATTGTCAGCGCACACTCAACCATCTGAAAGCGTTGAACGCAACCCAAGTGCATTTTATTAAAATGCCGAGCTGCATTGTAATTGTGTCGGCTGCCACTAGCTCCCGCGGTCACTCCCTTAATTCGTCCTGACATGGTTAATTTTATACATGCCATTAAATGTAGTGGTGGAAGTAAGCTTTATTTTGCCGCTAACCAGCACCATTAGCAACATACACGACGTACGTACAAAAACAGATGCCTAAAGAGAAAAGGGCCCTACCAAATATTCTGCACTTGAAGTGCCTTTTTAGTACTGTTTATTATACTGGTACCATAGAATATTTTTCATGGCGGAAATAATATATACATACTTAGTACCATCTATCCCATTACCCTCAGTGGATCGAGAGATCGAATAGAGTGGTAATGGGCTCCACTAATTTCGGTATACATATACATTATCCTTTTGAGTATGTACGATTATTGAGATATGTCTTTCTTTGCAGCCCATATATTATTTTTTCTTAAATTTCCTTTTGAATATTGTGTATTGTGAATTCAGAAAGTCAAAATAAGATCAAAATTATTCTGAAACAACTACCACAAACTAATAGATCAATGTCAGTTTTATTTG